GAGATGGACGGACAGACGGATGGAGGAGTGGTGGCCTGCACAGCCTATGCTGCTCGCCCCGGAGGAGAGGAGCAGCATGAGGGAAGCACCCGTCTGTCCCACCTCTGCTTGCTGCTGGCCCAGCAGGGCAACAGGGTGGATTTGGGGGAACGGGGCGGATTTGGGGGCTGGCGGGTGCCTATAGTCCTGGGTCGCAGTTATGTGCCCCTTCCCCAGGGCTCCAAATGGCTGACAGCCAGCAGCACTGCCCCTGCTGCAACCAAAGCAACTCTCATCCAGAAAGGGTTAATGATTTGGAGGGGAGTTAATTGTACATGGGAGAGGTGAGGCTGCTGTGCTGGAGAATGCTGCCCAAGGATGCAGGAGCGATGCTGGATGCACGGCAGAGCGCAGGTGCTGGCACCCTCCCCGTGTTTCCCAGGCACTGGCTGGGATGCCACCAACTGCCACACGCTGTCTCAGGCATGTGACAAAGCTGCCATCCTCCTGCCCACACAGCCCAGCCTGAGCCGCCGCTGGCTGGCAGGCGTCTGGGAATGGAAAGGGGGCGCGGGCTGCGGCACTTTGGCCGATGATGAGCCCCCGCCGGGCTTGCAGGCGCAAGTCCCCATCTGTCCCCAGGGCTGCGCCTTCTTGGGTCCCTCTTGCCTGGCCCCAGACAAAGGTTTGCCTGAACTCTGCTGTTTCTCTCCCCTGAAACTCCATCTCCCTCTCTCAACACCGCACGGAGCCGGGGAGAGCTGCACCCCTGCAGCCACTTTGCACCATCTCGGGTGAAACAAAACCAACCCCATCTCCCCCCGTTCCTCCTTGGTTCGAGTTTCTGGGGCTGCGCAGGCTGAGGTGGCCCCACAGCCTGAAGCTGGTGTCCCCGTGGTGCTGGAGCCTCTTGTGTCACGTCACCCTGCGAAGGGGCCGCGGCGCTCCCCGGCACCCTGCACGACGGTGGCAGGAGGTGGCACAGGTGACAGGAGGTGGCACAGGCTGTCACATCGAGGGGTCAGAGCCGCGCAGCCCAAAGCTGCCACCAAAGGGGACGGGACGCGGTTTCCTCCGAAGGGCTGGGAACACAGCCTGGTCCTGTGGGCGAGGGCTGGCTGGGGGGGGCTGGTCGCAGCCAGGTGTTCTGGATTCACATCCTCGTTAGCTGAGCTGACTCCCAATTAATGGCTTAATTAACCTGGTACCAGCCCTGGCCCCCAGTAAACCCCTCTCTAGACTCCTCCTGGCTCTTCCCC